ACTTTGATTGGTTGAAAAAACAAAAATCAAAAAACCCATCTGAGCATCAATATTCCTCGCTGACAGAATTACACACTGAACTTCAAGTCACGTTGGCAACTTTAATCTGCAGCTATTCATCACGTCTGAAGGCTGTGCCCTTTGGAAAGAAATAGAAAACTTGTCCGACTACATTTCTTTGGCCCGATCCTGGGCTTGGGGGTCACCGCTAGAGCTCATCAGAGCTCATCATAGACTGAAACGGCACTAGTCAAAGTCACAAATGACTTACTACTAGCTGCCGATAATGGACCAAGTGTCAGTGCTGGTCCTACTGGACCTTAGTGCTGCATTTGACACAATAGACCACAGCATTCTACTGCAGAGGCTAGAATGTGATATAGGTCTTAGAGGAACAGCCCTTGGCTAGTTTAAATCCTATTTATCAGATCGGCATCACTTCGTCAACGTAAATCAGAACTCGTCACCTTATGAAGCCAAATCAGACAGATCAGCTGGAAAAGCTCAGTGCCTGCATAAAGGACCTTAAAATGTGGATGACTCTTAACTTCCTACTTCTCAACCCGGAGAAGACAGAAGTGATCCTACTCGGTCCGAAGCGCCTGCGTGACCCCCTTACTAACCAGATAATTACTCTCGATAATGTCAGTATTATACCCAGTAACACTGTGAGGAATCTTGGAGTCATTTTTGACCAAGAACTCTCCTTCAAGGATTATATAAGCCAAGCAACTAAAACGGCGTACTTCCACTTACGGAACATCGCTAAAATTAGGAATTTCCTTCCTAAAAGTGACGCGGAAAAACTCATTCACGCGTTTGTCACCTCAAGGCTCGACTACTGTAACGCTTTACTGGCAGCGTGCCCTAAAGCCTCTTTGAAGAGCTTCCAGCTCGTTCAGAATACAGCAGCTAGGATCTTAACAGGTATCAAAAGGAGGGAGCACATAACTCCGGTGTTAAAATCACTCCACTGGCTCGCTGTGGAGTACAGAATAAAGTTTAAAATCCTACTCTTAACATATAAAGCCATAAATGGCTTGGCTCCTTCTTATCTCCAAGACACGTTAGTGTCGTATCAACCAAGTCGAGCGTTGCGCTCACAAAACGCCAGACGTCTGGTGGTCCCTAAGGTCTCAAAAATCACTGTTGGTGGCAGAGCATTTAGCTACCAAGCTCCTTTACTGTGGAATCAGCTTCCCATTTATGTTAAGGAAGCAGATACGGTCTCCACATTCAAGGCCAGGCTTAAAGCACTCTACTTTAATTTAGCATATAATTAGGTAATATATAATATATGGTGTATATATTATATATGTATGCTGTATTATGTTGTATATTATGTTATATATTATACAATAATGTATTGTGTTATGTTGTATATTATGTTATATATTATGCTGTATGTTATGTTGTGTATTATATATGATATATATGGTATGTATGGTATATGTGATGTATATGATATATAATATATAAATAGGTTTGCTTGGATCGGTTTGCACACCTGGTGTGCAATCCATGAATCTCTTTATTCAAGGCTAGGTTTAAAACAGTCCTCTTTAGTTTAGCATATGGCTAGGAAGGTAAGACTCGGAGAAGGTTAAACTCCTCAGAGTGTCAGTCAAGCTGCATAGGGAGTCAGTTTGCTGGGAGAAGTATGGTAACTTGAGCACTATCCTCTCCTCCTTCCTACTTTATCTACTTTATCTGTTTAGCACTTTTAGGATTCTGACTGTAGTTTGTTCATTGCTATTCACCCGTTGTCCCATTGTCTGTTTCATAGTACGATGACGGGATCTCTGAGCCTGGCCTCCTCCATCTGCACCTGCGGACTGCCCCGCCCGACCCGCCTGGGAGTGCTTTGGTCCTGCACCGGACCTGTCCACGTTCAGCGGCCACTGGTCCACGTCCTGTAGCTAGCTTAGGTCCTGGATCATTAGCCTGTCCGTCCGGAGGAGCGGATCCCTTTCTCATATGGGTCTCCCTCCCTGTGGGTTTCCCTAGTGCTCCCCAAGGTTTCTCACTTTTTCCCACTGGGTTTTTTAAGAGTTTTTCCTTGTCGATGCAGGAGGGTCTTGTTGGACAGTTAGTGTCCAACAGAAAGGATTGGTGATGATCAGGACACTTTAGCATTCTACAACATGTATGGACATTTTCTTCTGTGTGTGCTTTTATATTCTTCATGTGTTTTAACTGTTGATTCTCTGACCTGTGTTGGTGATTTCAATGGTTTTGTTAAGTCCTCTGAGATGACTTCTGTTGTGACCTAGGGCTATACAAGAATAAATTGTATTGTATTGTATTGTCCCTGTGAAAATATGTACTTGTAGATACTATTAATTTAGCCTTTTTATGTAACCATGAAGTCCTTTGACCATGAGTGTTTTTCTTTCCTTAGACAAATGCCTTCCCGAAAACAAAAAGAAAGCTATGCTCTTAGAATTATCACACTTTTTTCTTCATTGAAGGGTCCATTTTCTCAAAAAGGTTATGTAAGTATTGTTAATGTATCCATGGAAATTGAATTTGGTTTACCTACACGTTTTGTGTCGGTAATGGATATGTATAGATACCAATCATAACTGTACACTTTGTTTTCAGACTAATCTAGCCTCGCAATGAGACGGTGACCTCCTATTTGCTAAACACAATATCTGCAATACAATGTGAACAATAAGTCCACATTTCCACAATGTTGATAAAGACGACATTGTGTGTAAGTGTTTTACTGTTTCTCCTTCCTTGTTTGACGTTACTGTGACTTGCGTTTGATTTTTATTCATATCACTCTTTTGATTGTTTTCTAGCGGCCTGTAAGACTTATTATGAGACGGTTCGCAGGAGCCATCAAAATGCCAAGCCAGAAAACTCATTGAGGGCGGATGTGGCGAAGAGTTCAGCTCAGAGTCGAGCGAGAAGAAAGAGGGTAAGACTAAACTGCATCGCACAGTAAGGCAAGGGAGGTTTATTTGTGTAGCACAATTCATACACAAGGAAACTCAAAGTGCTGAGCAAAAGAAAGCATTAAATAATCACAGTACATCAACAAAGATAAATATAAAATCCCTCAGTTGTAGCACAGCTAAAGTGAGACAGGCCTCCTCTCTTACAATGTTTAAAACCAGGTTAAAAACAGTTCTGTTTAGCTGTGCTACAACTGAGTGATTTTATATTTATCTTTTTTAATGTACTGTGATTATTTATTTTAATGCTTTCTTATTTTGCTCAGCACTTCGAGTTGCCTTGTGTATGAATTGTGCTAGACAAATAAACTTGCCTTGCCATCGTACTTCCTGGTTCTGGTCAGGACTTGAGCTGCTGCATTTTGAATGTACTGCAGCTGTTGTTACAGTAGTCTAACCTACTGGAGACAAATGCATGGATAAGAATCTCCAGGTCTGCTTTAGACACTGTTTTTGATCCTGGCAATGTTTAGATGGGAAAAAAGATTTGATGTGGCTAATAATATTTACTGATTCTTTCAGCTGGTGGAATCGAGACTGATTGTGCTAGAAAGTGACAAAGTGGAACTCTGGAAGTCCGCCACGGTAGACCTAATGTCCAATGAAGAAGAAGGCGTTGTGGACGGTGTCTCTGGGTGGATTGTGCAGTTGCCGTCTTTTCGAAAGCCGGAGTTTTCTGAACTCTGTGTCAAGCTGCAGTCCCGGTTAGAGGCGGCACGGAAGTATAGAGCCACGCACATTAAGCGTCTATCTAGAACCCTGCCAAATTACAACCCCGAGGAGGCTATTGGACAGTTCAGAGTTGTAATTTCTTAATTACCTATGTGTGAGCATAAAGCTGTGTGTGTGTGTTTTAATAAAGATTTCTTTGTATGAACATATTCCTGGAAAATTTTCATTTCCTCTATAAATAATATGAATAAATATATATTTATATGAATATTATTTAATTAATTATGAGGCAGGGTGACCAATAGTGACAGATCTGCCAGCCAATCCCGAGAGATTATATTTATTGGAAAGTAGTGATTTCATCCAATGGGGAGTAAGCTACCAATGGGGAGTAATCCCACGTGGGCTGGCCACGTGTGATTTTTCAGCCAATCACGAGTTTGAAAGTAGTGGTATCCGCCAATGCTGAATAGCAGCCTGGCCAGCCGCTGCATTCATATGCTAATTAGGGCCATTAGCGTTCGGCCGGCCGCAGTGTTTCGCTGCATTCATATGCAAAGTAGGGACATTAGCATGGTACAGATGCGGCAGTTTGGAGGACAGGGCACCCTAACTGCCTTTTGAAAACTGCCTGAGATACCCGAAAAAGAGCGTGATTTCCTGCCGTTTAGGGTGACGAAAATCTAACTTTTCGTGCAGTGATCGGCCCTTCCGACCACCACCAACCATTCACACACACACACCTGACTCATTCTATTCAATATTTGAATGCCTCCACCTTGTGGTTCATGTGTTTTATTGTGAAATTCTCTGTGGGTGTGGCGACTGTACACTCTTGGGTGCCTGCCCCACCCTATTTAAGAGGACTTCCTGGTGCTCGTCTCATGTTTGCTTGATAAAGGCATAACGCCGAAACGTCGCACTTCAAATAAATAATTTTTAATTTGCAAGTAAGACGGTGTGCGGGATTCCTTCTCTCTATCACATTAGGCTATACAGGCCTCTCCTCTGACGCACCTGATCTGTAGGTATTGATGTGCGAATCCCTACTCCAGTCATTTAGCTGGTGAAGATTGCAATATCTACATTATTATATCACCTATTTATGCCAAATGTTACGTTTGTTTGGCTGAAACAACCGTCGATAGTTAACGTAATTTGTATTTCTTTTAGTCCTTCATGTAATTAACAAGCTTTTTCCTTCATCATCTCATCAGTTCCCTCAAAAGAATACATCATACATATTTCCAACAGGCACACACGGACTTTTCATATGCATTAGTTATTAACTATATATTTATTCAGACAATATCTATCTACAGTCATTAATCACTTCCATAGTGTGGACTACAAGAAGAAGCTTTACAGCACATTACTTTGATATTTACCCCGGTTTCCCTCCAGCAGTTGCTCCATCCGGACTTTGTTTTCCAGGTTTTCCTCCTGCAGTTGTTTGATCTGGACTTGCTGTGCAGCCAGTGCAGCTCTCATCTCTCTCACTGAGTCAATGTCAGATGAACAGAACTGAAGAGACTCTGGGTTTTGTCCCAAATCATCTAAACAAATCCCCTCAAAGAAGAAAAGAGAGGAACTCAGCAGCAGCACCAAGAAACTAGCTCTGTCCATGGTCCTCTGGAGGTCTGTGGAGGAGTGTGCTCTGCAGCTCTTCTTAAATACTCGGATCCGAAACGGTTGATTTTCCATGTGGGAAATCAACCGTTTCCCACATGTTTAGACGTGTTTGGAAACGGTTGTGAAAGCTACAGCAATAGTTCCAATGAAATGACTGTTGGGAAATACATTTAGGGGAAAAACGGATGTAATAATATTCACAATGTCAGGTCACAGAGAGAAATTATTAATATTAATCATCATCAGGCCCCAATCTAAAAAAAAAATAGCCTGGAAGCCACGGTACTTAAAAATGACAGTCCCATTTCAAATCTCCTAGAAAAGTTTTTGAAAAAGTTGACTAACAACTTACTGAATATCTGATAATGAATAACTCATTTGATATGTTCCAGTCCGGCTTTAGATCCCACCACAGCACTGAGACCACTCTTGTGAAGAAACAAACAACATCCACCTTAACACAGAGTCTCAGTGAGTCCTGCTTCATCACAAGTCCAGCTTCGCATCTCGCACAAATGTTGAGATCCTCCAGATTACAGCAGTATCTGTTCACGGAGATGTGCCATGGATTTATTAGGCCTCCCCAATACGTGTGAGCTAGTCCATTGGATGGGAGTGCGTGATGGTAAGTGGCCTTTATTTTTTCTGATAACCCCTTTTTTTGACTTTTCTGCTCGGATTGGAGTGTCATTATCAGGAGCTGGAGGACTGAGCAGGCTGTACAACAGATGGGCCACACGGGAAAAGTTGGGGATAAAGGGCCTGTAGTATGAGAGGAATCCCAGCATTTGACGTACCTCTCCGACTGTTATCGGTGTCTTTTCTTTCAGAGCCCTCACTGGCGCCATCTCTGCCGGGTCCATGGTATAGCCTTCCCCCGTCACCACCTTTCCCAGGAATTTGACACTGCACCTGAAAAGCTCACATTTCTTTGGGGTTCATTTCACACCATGCTTTTTGTAACGCTGGAGGACCAGACGGATGTGCTCAACATGATCTTCAAAGCAGTTACTATGTACTAGATTGTCATCCAGGTACAGGAGGCAAATAGTGTCTCTGAGGCCAGCCAAACAATGTTCCATGCTCCTCTGGAACTCAGCAGGTGCGGAGCTCAAGCCGAATGGAATGCGCACCCATTTATACAGTCCCCAGGGTGTGATGAAAGCTGTTAGCGGGCGGCTGTCTTCATCTAGGAAACCCTGGTGGTACGCTTTTCCCTGGTCTAAAACTGAAAACCATGAGCTCCCACCTAACGCATCCAACATGTCCTGAATCCGAGGTATTGGGTGGCGGTCCGGGACTGATTTTCTATTGAGTTCCCTAAAGTCACAACAAAGACGGAGAGCGCTATCTTTCTTGCGCACACAAACCACAGGCGATTAGTAGGGAGACCTTGAGGGCTTGCAGGTCTTGCAAATACTCTTTGACTTCATTGTGAAGGGGCTTTGGGACAGACATGTAGGTCTTTTGTACTGGACTGGGGTCATGTAGGGTTATGTGCATTCTTAGAGATGGTATGCAGCCCACATCATCGTCATCAAACATTTTCCTTGCTGTCTCTTGTTGCCTCTGTGTTAAGTGTTGAAGATCAACGGATGGATCCCATGACTTTGGTCCCTCTGTTTCGTCTATCTCTCGCTTGTCTGTGTGACTCAACTGGTGTGATTTTAATCCTGTACTCCGTTTCTCTTTGTTTGATTCTCCTGTTGGAATGCTTGCACAATAAACTGTCTTGACTGGCTCTAAGTGTCCAATTACTTCATGACTGGCTAAATACATGGTGTGATGTGTACTGTTTGTTACAGGAATGGGCACATATGGCATTTTAACCAGTGCATCACTGTATACCACTCCCTCTGGTGGTGGGTCAGGCGTAAACAACATACCTTGACCTCTGGCCTCTGGACTAACATGTGCCCGCATATAGACTATGGTGACTTTGTTAGCTGGTAATTTGATGGTTCTGACACCAATACGTAACACACCAGTCTCTACTCTGCTGTTTTGTACCAACTTGACAATGTTGTGTGCAGCTTCAACTGTTATTTCAAAAGCTTTACTAACTCTATGTGCAAGCTGTGTTTGTCCCCCTTTAGTCTTTACTTCACTTTTGTTCATCACAGTCTCGATCACATTATAACCAATGATCCATGTGGAATGGGCGTGTCATTGGCAGCATATACTGTAAGGGTCTCACCGTCCAACAGCTCTGCGATGGGGAAGATGTCTCTGCCGGCAGTTTTCATTGACTATGCTGGACTGTGCCCTGGTATCCCACAACACTTTAATTGGGTGGTTATCCATATAACAATTAACTGTACACCTGTTACCAACAAGGCTTATTAACTGTGACTTTCGCTGAGGAGGCAGGTAGTGAACTTCACTTATGGCTGACTGAGCACTGTTTGTTGTTGCTGTGGGAGTTTGAAGAGGACTTCGTTGCTCACCTTGGCGTTGCTCACTTTGGGACACTGGGTTTTGAACAACTGCTGGTCCCGTCTCAGTAGTCCCTTCCCATTTCCCGAGGGCCTTTGAGCTCTGCATCCACGAGAGAAGTGACCTTCCTGTCCACATTTGAAACAGTGTCCACAGTTTTCCCCACGCCCCTCATCTCTGCATTTCCTACAGCCTCTTTCCCTCTGCCTTGATCCTAATGGACGGGGATTCACTTCCATTGCAGTCATGAACATTTGCTTCATTTCTTTCCGCAAGTCCTCATTGATCTGCTGTGTGTTTGTACATTCGTTTTTAGTCTCTTTACCTTTAACTGCTTTCACATCCACTGTAGTCTGAAATTCTCTTAGCTTGGGGCTCTGAATTGGGTCCGCTTGGTAATCTGTTTGGAGTTCCTGTACTTTGGGAATCTTGGCTACAGTTGTTCTTTTACGCTTCTCCAGTCTCTCGTTTTCAAGCTTTGACACTTAATTCACTCTTTCAATTAGTTCTTTATCTGTCGTGCCCAGACCACTGAGCAGAGGCAGCAACTGGTACTTGATTGAATCACTGAGCAGCCCTGTTTCAATGGAGCATAGAAACTTGCGTTGAATGGTGACCCGACTGTACAGTTAATCAGTTTCCTCGTTTGCTACTTTCCACAATAGTTTCTCTTTCATTTCAATAGCACGAAAGACAAAGTTCAATGCAGTCTCTTTAGGCTCTTGGGTTATGTTAAGAAGCTGGTGGTATAATTCGGTGGAGCTGTCTACCCTGTAGTGGCCTTTTAGTATGATGAGCAATTTACTAAGGGTCAGTCCACGTTTAATCTCTAACATATCTCTTAAAGGCAAGCCTGGGCTAATGGCTCTGATCACTGCCTCAACTACTTCAGTTTCTGGATGTCCTTTTTCCATCCCCATCTCAATTTGGCGGACAAGTCTGAGGTAGGACAGGTTTTCTTTCTGTCCATGTTCCCCTATCTGCCCACTTATCTTAAACTCCCTTCTCAGTGTTACCTCTTGTAAGTTGTTTATTGGCTGTGAGAGAAATCGGAGTGGTGGAGGTGAAATCTTTGGTGGAGTGGCATTGACCGGTTCTTCTTCTGGTAAGAGTTCTGATTGCTTGTTTACATCTGAATGAATTGTACTTTTATTCAGTTTCCCAATGTATGTCCTCAATTCAATGTAGAACTGCTCTACCTCATCATCTTTATCCTTTTTCTCGACTTCATCAAAAACGTCCTCTGCCATCTTGATGAGTGCCCTTTTTGTCTCTCTGGGAGGTTCTCCGCTGCTCAGGCCGTAACATTTCAGTCGCCCACACACATCGATGAGAAGGTCTCGCTCCAGCTGCCATAAAGCTGCACTCAACTGGTCACGCAGTAATTGTGTCTTCTCCATAGTTGCTTGAAGAATAAGGTTCGACTCTTGGGATGGAGGAAGGGTCGTGACGGTGACTCACTATCGCCTCCTCCTGGCTGGCTCGCCCAAATATGTTACACTTTTTGAATGATGGGCCAACTCATTCATGTGCAGCACATTTAAATTTAATTCAGGCTCTGCAAAACACGTAAAACAGACATGGAATGCAGGAGCTCACTCGGTGCAGTGTCATCACGTTAAGTACTACTTCTAGCGTTGCCCCGGCAGCAACCACTAGTAAAAGCACCAAGTGCCCTCTGCTGGCGGAACCAAGCATTGCATTTCAAAACTATGTACAATAAAACTGTGGTTATAAAATAAAACTATGGGGTGCAACTATTATGGCATGTAATAATATTACACAGGGCTACACATACGCCAGTCGCGGGTTGTCTGCAAGTGAGGCTAGATATCCCGCTGACAGGCTGGAGTTCCTAGCTTTAAAGTGGAGCGTATCAGAGAAGTTCCATGACTACCTGTACGGTGCAGAGTTTGTTGTTGTAACTGACAATAATCCTCTTACTTATACTTCACTGTACTGCTGTCACATACAAGTGCACATTGTGTGCACCATGTGCACTTGTATGTTGTAAATAGTAACTGTAACTCTTTTAAATTTAAATCCATCCATCCATCCATCCATTTTCTTCCGCTTTATCCGTTGCCGGGTCGCGGGGGCAGCAGTCTAAGCAGAGACGCCCAGACTTCCCTATCCACACACACTTCCTCCAGCTCGTCCGGGGGGACCCCAAGGCGTTCCCAGGCCAGCTGAGAGACATAGTCCCTCCAGCGTGTCCTAGGTCTTCCGCGGGGCCTCCTCCCGGTGGGACGTGCCCGGAACACCTCCCCAGGGAGGCGTCCAGGAGGCATCCGGAACAGATGCCCGAGCCACCTCAACTGGTTCCTCTCGACGTGGAGAAGCAGCGGCTCTACTCCGAGCTCCTCCCGTGTGACTGAGCTCCTCACCCTATCTCTAAGGGAGCGCCCAGCCACTCTGCGGAGGAAGCTCATTTCGACCGCTTGTATCCGCGATCTCGTTCTTTCGGTCATTACCCAAAGCTCATGACCATAGGTGAGGGAGGGAACGAAGATTGACCGGTAAATCGAGAGCTTTGCCTTTCGGCTCAGCTCCTTCTTTACCACAACGGTCCGATACAGCGACCGCATCACTGCGCACGCTGCACCGATCCGCCTGTCAATCTCACGCTCCATTCT